AACAGCAACCTCTACACTTTCCTCTTTTGTAGCTAGGCTTATTTCTCGACAAGCAAGGCTTACATCTTGTCCTGCCTTTTCAGCAGATACTTGTCTTTTAGTATTGTGATCATCAGCAGATGATCGTGATAAAGTACCACATTCACTTTGAGAAACCAAACGCGTGTCATTCAGACACTCAACTTGGCTCTCACAGAGGTCTTTGGTAAGTTCTTCACCATCATTTTTGTCAATAAGAGCCTTACCTACCTCTTCACTTATATTATCACCTGTCAAATTGGCATTTTTAGTTATGTGTTTACTATTCTCAATAATTAAATTATTGCCTTTCCTTAAATTTGTGTGATTGCTTCCTGGAAAACCACTATTATTACACCTTACCACATTCTTTTTCTTTTTGCTTATGGGAGTTGATCTTCTAGGTTGCAAAGCTGGAAACGGATTTATGTTCTGCAACCATCTCTGCACATAACTCTGAACTGAATGATGGGTAATATCATCAGGAATACTATTTTTTTTCAGAGACACTAAGGAATTCGTCCTGGTCTTAGTGTTTTGTTTACTTACAATCGTACCTGATTTCAACTTTTCTTTTTGCTTTTTCTGTTTTTTTAATGTTATGTGTGAATGGTTAGTATTTGAAAGTAAACTCTTCTTTGTCACTTCTCCCAAATACTCAGATGCCACCTCTGCCTGGGTTTGTATTCCACAAAACATTTTTGGTGCTTGCTCAAGCATGTTAAAGACATGAAATAAACTCTGATTTTCAAAAGTATTTCTACAATATTTAAATTTGCTCTGAGAAAATACCTTCTCTCCATGACCAATCACTTTCTTTGCAGGCCCTCCTAAGCTCATTTTTCTTAGTGGTTTGGATTTTGCTTTGGTAATGAGTCCATGAACCTTAAGATTCTGAGTAGTATTTAATTTCGTTCTTTGAAAATTCTTAGAAATCATAGGATTCAGATTAGTTTTGGAGTAGAAATTATTTGATTCAATTGGCATGGCAGGTGCATGGAAGTCTTCCTCACAAAGTGTCCCATTTTTAAGGGGAATGTGGGAATCTCGCAGTCTGGATTCCTGGGCAATTTTGCCTCTTATGTTCATTTTCTGGCTCTTGATGGGGGTTCCTTTAGTTATAATCCCCCAATCCTTTTGCCTTGTATTTATTACCTGTTGCTGAGATTGCTTCTGCTGTTGCTTCCTCTTCTTTTTACTTGCAACAGATGATGTTAATCCACACTGAGAAAATTCACTAATTAGTTTGTCAATTCTTGTGGTGGCGGCTGAGGATCCTACTGAAGGTGAGGTTTCAGAAATAGTTGTGTCAGTTCCAGAGCTGTTACCTGAAGAGTGAGTTGCATCTGCTGAAACAGGGCTAAACCTATCATTGGTGTCATCACAAGGTCCGGAGATCCTGGTGGTAGTTTTCCTGTCTGGTATTATATAATCAACTCTATTTTGTTCTGCAATTGAGTTCTCTGAAACAGACTGTGATAAGTCATTATGGGCCATCTCTAACATCTTTTGACTTGTAATTTCTATAACATCAGTACTTGACTTCAGCAGTCTGTTTTCCTTTTTTCTTTCTGAAGATGACTCCATCGGTTCACCATTATTGATTTGAACAAGACTTGGTTTAGTAGATATGGATGACATTTTACTACTAGAGTGCGTGAACAAATGATACCCAGATTTGTCGTCTTCTTCTTGCATTTCTTCACTATATGAAAACTGTTTAATCCTTCTTTCCTGAGTCTCTGTTTCAGACACTAAGGTCACACTCCCTAGCATAGATTTTTTTTTTCTCACTCTCCTTGGTCCAGGTGTAGGAGGCCTATAAAAATGGCGCTTTTCTTGATCCTGAATTACTCGAGTGTCATCTGTGTCCACAGCTGTGTTCTCCCAACTACCAGAACTGCAAGTTTCAATGCTCTGAGCTGTCATTTGAGTGTTTATCTCCTCTACTATACTGTTCTCTTGACTACTGCTTTTCATCATTGGTAGGATTTCTGCAGACAATGAACAAGCTGAGAGCTTTAAATCAGATGACGGATCATCTGCTCTTTCGGAAAAACTGCTTATCGCACATTTTTCATCACCAATAGGAAGGTCAGCTCTACTGACAGTGGTTGTCCATCTAATGGTTTCCTCCTCTTTTATCTTAAATCGAACTTTCATCTCAACAGTCATAGTGCCATCCTGATTAAAAATAACCGACTTTTCAATATCATCTTCAGAAGGCTCCATCATTAAATTCTGAGAATCATTTTTTTCTAAGGCCAAGTAATTCTCAGGAGTGACAGAGGAGTCTGAGCAGCAATCATTACTATTTGTATGCATTTTGTGAGAAGAAACAGAACAAATCTGGGACCTTGGACTTGAAGGCACATGTGTGCTCACTATTCCAAAATGTTACAAAAAGGGAAAAAAATCCCACATCAAAATACAGTACGGAACAGAAAAAAGTTAGAAATATCCAGTGAAAAATGCAGCAAAGAAGAAAAGGAAAAAGAGGAAGAATTAGTATGACAAGCACAGTATTATCTGATTTTCATAGTAAAATGTCATTGATAAAATTTCATTTATCTCCCAGTTATGTAGCCAATGTTGCTTGAGAAATTACTCTTAAAATGAGACCTTAAAATTCTACTTAATAAGGTGATCCAAAAAAACTTAACTTTAATAAGTTTAATAAAGTTACTTAAATAAGGATTATGTAATGTGGGAATTCTTAAGGATTATAACAAAAACCAAGGGATTTACTTTACTAATAGTAAAATTGTGGACTAATCAAGTACTACCTACCCCATTCAAACAATAGCAATTTACAGTAATATTTATTTTCACTCAATATTCTATGTACATCAAGGGACTAATTTGTAGTTTTTTGAAAGTTGAAGTATTTTAGAAATTTATTTAAAAGGCTTGATTAATTAAGCAATAATTATAAATTTAGCATTTTATTTACTTTATATAGTCACTATACTTTAATATAAGGTAGGAAAGGGAATGAGAGAGACACAGACCCAAACAGGCTTTTAATGTATGTCTCCAGTGGTAACTTTGGCATTCATGTTTCCTTAGGTTAACCAAATTTCCATGAGTAGTTTGAATAGATTTTCACTTGCTCCCTGATGTTTAATATTTAAAGGTATAAACCTACAATTATTTTTATTATTTTGTATAGACTTTTCTCAAACTTGCAAATAAAGTCATTTCTCTCTCTCATTAAAGGTAAAATTTAAAGTCCTTAAATTCCCTAAAATCATATTTAATGTCCTATTCCAGACCCAAAATAATTAAATCACTTGTAAAATGACCAAAGTAAAATACTAACAGATGCACCTGTGATTAACTACGGAATATATAGCTATGATAGATCATAAAATGGCAATGATAAATGACCCATTTTCCCTCACTAACAATAGGTAGTGATATTTAAACTGATTAAAATGTAAGTTGTTCCACATGTAAAGAGAATGAAAATGAAAATGACGTGTAAACAGCAATCAATACTTTCATTTACAGCTGAAATTTTCCTGGAAATACTCAGCACAACGACTAGTGAGAATGACCATGTAGTCTCAGACTACGCACAGCCTAAAACACCAGCCTGGGCCTTACGAGGCTCTCATCTGCCACATCCAAAGGATAATAGAGGTGAGCAGCAGTTGCTGATGAATTAACCTATTTTATGGTTAATCAGCCAAATTACACTATAATTGGCTATATGGATTTTTAAAAATTAAATAAACAAAAAGTAGATTTTTACTGGAATCACTGCAGAAAGGAAAGTGTATCTCAAGTTAGAGACCTGAAACTTTCATTCTGCTAATGTGCTGAGCTCAGCCACGGATATGCATGCTACTATTTAAAGAAAACTGCATCTACCAGAACCATCACTTACAAGAATTCCAGAGAATTCTGTTCCCAATGTAGAAACATTGGCATTCTGGCTTTTTAACTAAGACCTCTGATGGTATAGTACCTAGGGAGCTTCCCTGCTAACCCAAAGGCAAAGCCCCTCTAGTGGTTCAAATCCTCCAGCAGCTTTGCTGGCAAAGATCAACAATTTCCATCCATGCAATTAGTCTCAGAAAAGCAATGAAGGGTCAGCTATCAGTTCCAACTCAATGACCGTGAGTGATATATGCAAAAAGGTCTTGAGGTGACACAAACCAGGTGTTACAGAGAGCAAATTTAAGGGAGCTTTGCAGGCCTAGTGATAAGAATGCTGCTTTGCATCCCAAAGGCACACATTTCAAATCCACTGGCTTCTCCATGGGAGAAACATAGGCAATCTCCTACCATGAGATTTATAACCTCTGAAAACTTGCCGGAGGGCCAGCTATGGGTTGGTTCTGACTTGATGGTATACAGCAACAATATTAACCCAAAGAATGGTGGTTCAAATCTACCCAGCTATGCTGCAAAAGAAAGGTCTAGCAGTCATGTATGCATAATAATTTGCTCATTCTCTGTCATCCTTTCTCTCATATTCCCTCACTCTGAGATATATATTCTCTCTCTCTCTCTCTCTCTCTCTCTCCTCTCTCTGCCATTGAGTCAGAAATGACTCATAGCTGTCCCTCTACAGAGCACTTGTTCTCTGTAACACATGAAGTTGTCATGTGTTCGAATCTACTCCATAGCAATGACGTTGTTTTGCTTTATTTTTCTTAATTTGATGGGAGGGGGGAATACTCTAACAAACTAATATACCCCAATTTAAATAAACATGTCATTGATTTCATTAATTTAGAGAACTAAAAAGCATAGTCATTATAACTCTTTCCAAAGATAAATATCACCAATTTAACATTCTAATGTTTTGGGGGTTTTTTGTTGTTGTTGTTGTTGTTTGTAGCTCATATCTTCTCTTCAGGATGAAGGAAATTAAGCATTTAAGCATGGATTCTTGTTTTTGTTGCTGAGGTTAAAAAAAAAAATCTTAAAAGCTTAGGGCTGAAAATAAGTTATATATTTAAGTGACTTACTCTTTCTGCTTTCCGACCGAGCATTTCCTTTGGGGTGTGCTCGATGAACAGCCCCCGGTGGCCTAGCAGGAAACAAGTACTTTTGGATGTCATAATTTCCTGGTTTAAATGGCTCCCTTCCTGCTGCCACAATGGCTCCAGAGCTCAGGACCACCGCCTGGAGACTAGGAATCTACAAGAAAGCAAACAATTCAGGTCTTCACTTAAGCTACATAAAATTTTGTTCTTTCCATGTGTTCATCATGCAATCTGACTAAATCATTTTGAGAATTCCATGGACTTCTTGAAATGACCAAGCATTTGGTAGGGATTATCAATAAACCAAAGATCACTGCCCTACATCCGGTTTCTGCGGTGGTAAATTTTTACTGGAGGAGACTGCTTACATGTCTCCCTGGAAGGAGCTGGTGAACTTGAACTATTGACCTTTCAACTGGCCTGTTAGTACTGCCCCCTGTCTCTACACACACACACACACACACACACACACACACACACACACACACACGCCACTAGAGCTCCTTTAAGAATTAATTGTGATAGGGTGGTGGTGGTGGTGGTGGTTGTTGTTGTTGTTGTTGTGTACCACTGAGTCGGACTTAACCCATAGCTGACCAGCAAGTTTTCAGAGGTAAAAACTCGCACGAGAGGAGAATGCCCATCTTTCAGGTGGTAAAGAGTAGATTCAAACCTTGAACCTTTGAGCTGGCAGTGTAGCTAGCTCCTTTTCACTAAGCCATACAAAATAAATAAAGTATATGAATGAGGGGAGGGCAGTATCTTTGATGAGCACTGCTGCTAGGTGGAGACAAGACTAGTTGTACATTTTACAAGAATACATTTTAATATTAAAATTTAAGAAACCGCACAATTACGAAACTCTGTGCTCACTCATAGCAATATTTTAAGAGTAAAATGGCCCTATAAGGCCTCCAAGCAGACTGCCCGCAAATTTCACCAGTTGTAATTGGTGAGTTCGAACCATCAACTTTTTAGTTAGTTCATTACAGAATAAGCAATCTTTAAAAAAAAAAAAAAAGGTGTTCAAGATTGCTTCTGTCCTCTCTAACAGAAGTTCGAGCACCTGCCAATGAGCTCCAAAGCCAGTTGGAAAAAACCAGACCTGCCTGGAGGATCCAGGAAAAACTCTGGCCAGATTCCCAAGAAAATCTCAAACTCATCCAGTAAGAACCGACCCATAGCCGACCCTCCAGTGGGTTTTCAGAGGCGGTAGGTAAATTGCACGGATGGAAACTGCTCAAGCTTCTTCCGCAGAGCAGCTGGTGGATTCGAACCACAAGAGAGGTTGGGGAATTTGGTTAGCAGTGCAGCTCTCTAAGGGCTATGCTCCAGAGCTCCAGCAGAGCAAAAGAAGAATGTGGGAGAAAGACCTGGCGGTTGTGCCAGCCTAGAGGAGGGGAAAATACTGTTCGGTCTGCTGGACCTAGAGAACCAGGTGCAGGGGGAGGCTAGAGGCTGAAGGAGCCCGACGAAGGCGAGGGCGAAGGACGACCGTACTTTGGGCCGACAGACCCCAGAACCCCAGCGCACAGCGTACACACCTTCCGTCCGTCCGTCGCGTACAGCTTCACCACTGGGCACCGCAGGACCTCGGCGAGGTGCTGCAGAAAGGCCTCGAAGCTCTGGGTGACACCGCGGCTGGCCACCACCACGCGCCCACTGCGCGGGTCTCCGTTGCGGAAGATCACGAGCCTGCGGGACCCGCGCAGCCAGGAGGCCGGGGGCGCGCGGCGCGGCGAGTGGACGCTGAGCGCGCGGCTGCTGTGCCAAGGCCGAGGCCGGCGGCGCGCGCGCTCCAGGTCCACTGGCTGCGCGCGCTGCCTGTGCGAGCACAGGTAGGCCCGCCCGTCTTGCAGCTGCTCCAGCTGCGTGACGCTGTGCCGGCCCCGCGGGGTGCTGATGTTCCTCACCCCAAACGGCAGGGGCACCTTCGAGGACAGGTTATCAAGTAGAGCATCGAAGGTTTTGAAGGAGCGGGGATTGACGACCACAGTGACGCCTCCGAACTGGGGGTCTCCACTCTTGTAGAAACTGATGCGTTTGGCCACCACAGGTTGAGTGACGCTCGGGTGGCGAGGCGGGGCAACCTGGCCTTCAGAAGATCGCTGCTGAATCATTGAGAAACTAGTGGAAGGGGTTTCACTCATCTTGGTTGAGACCTAGAGAGACAAGAAAAGTGTTAGTCTCCAGGAGCAGCTGGTGGATTCAAACTGTGTGCCTTTGAGATTTTTCAGCACAGCTTCTTACCACTAGGCCACCAGAGCTCCCAAAGCAATTATGCCTGACATACAGATTAGGATTTTCATTTTTTTCCACAAATTTGTTTATATGTGCCATTTTTGAAAGATAATTTTAAGTGTCTTAAAAGAAAAGGGCATACATGTAACAATGAAATAAAGATAATTATAGTTAAAACAATGTAAATGCCTTACTAAGGGTTTGTTGTTGTTAGGTGTCATCAAGTCCACTTAGACCCTATGAACAACAGATCTGAATCTTCCTCTGTCTTGTCCCATCCTCACCTTCTATCACATTATGAAGTCCATTCTTAAAGTTATTTAGCCAATACATCTTATTAAGGGTAGTCCTCTCATTCTCACCCTCCACCTTTTCCAACTTGATGTGTTTTCCCAAGGACTGTTCCATCCAGACAATGTGCCCAATTAAAGTTTCACCTTTCTTGTCTCTAAAGAGCACCCTGGTTGCACTTGCTTCCTCCAGCATAGATTTGTTTATTCTTTCATCAGCCCATATTCATAATATCTTTAAGGAAGGAAGGAAGAAAGAAAGAAAAGGAAGGACATCTTCTTGCTGTTGCTGTTTGCCATGGTGTCAGAACCAACTCATAGCTGACGCTTTTGTGGGTTTTCAGATGTTGTAAGTCACAGGAGGAGACTAACCATATTTCCCTCCCAGATCAGCTGGTGAAGTCACGTCTTCTGCCTTTGGGGTGGCAGCACAATTCCTCAACACTGAGATACCATACCTGCCTAACAAAGGGCCTAGGTAAATAAATTATTATATATACACTTATGCAGCCGTTCTATATGTCTTTATAGATCTCTATCAACATAGGAGCTCTGGTTGCATAGTCTGTAGAGAGTTGCATAGTTAAAGCAAAGGTGGTGCAGCTCTTGTGTTTCAACTCCACTACCTACTTCACAGAAAAATGACGGACAGTCTCCTTCTGTACAATTTAGAACCTCTGAGAAACTACTAGAGAATCAGTTATGAGTCGATCCCAATTTGGCAGCAAAGAGCTTGAGATTTTTGTTTGATTTATTGGTATAGAAAAAGGGTCACTAAATATTAGTAAATGAAAAAACACAGTCTTTCCTGACATTGACTTACATATATACACATACACACAAATATATATACACATAAATATATATATATACACACAAATATATATATACACATGCATATAAACACAAATGTGTGTGTGTGTGTGTGTGTGTGTGTGTATCCACACACACAAATAAGGAAAAATTTGGAAGTATGTACATTCTAATGTTAATAGTACTTACCACTCAAAAACAGAGCAATGGACAGACTATTATTTGTGAGTTTGGGGTTTGTTTTGTTTTAACTTTGAATTTTTAGAAATTAACAGGAATCATTGAACAATTTTAAAATAAAAAAGAAGCACAAATCACAAACCATCTAGTGAGAAAGATAAAAGAGTGTTGTAGTTGATAAGTGTAGTTCCTCATATTTTGACAGTCAAGTGAACAAGGCAAGGTTATAAACTTCTAATTGTCTCTGAAATGGAACCAACTGAATCCCTATAGAGGAAAATGTCTCTTACCATTGAATTCTAGGAGGAATATATCACATAGATACTTAGAGGAAAGACGGCCATATAGTGTATATATGTATAGATACTGTGTAACACTTCCCCTGAAGACTAGTATGAAATTCAGAAAAATATACATATCTCCTACCTTGCTCAGGGAAACCTGGATTTAAATGAATGGCAGACAGCATTGAGACAGCCGCTAAAAATGGTGGAATCTGAGTAATGCTCCCTCTAGTGGTAGTAACATTAAAACTTAGGGATGGGAGGCCAAAAGAACAGACAGACTCCTTAAAGTCAAGAGTGGTGAAGCTTTGGCTCACATATTTTGAGTATATTATTAGGAAGAATGATTTCTTAAAATAGAACATCATGCTTGGAAAGGTAGAAGGTTGGTCAAACAGAGGAAGAACTTCAACCAGATAGATCGATACAATGACTGCTGCAATGGCCTCAAGTGTGTCAGAAAGAATGAGGATAGATAGCACAGGACAGGACAGGGTTTAAGTCTGTTGTTCACAGAGTCACTAAGAGTTATACTCGACTCAACAGTATCTAAAACCAACATTGTTCTTAAGGAGCTGCTCTGTCAAACCAAAGACACACAGTTTGAATACACCAGCTGCTCCACGGGAAAGAGATGGGCAAATCGTCTCCCAAACTGCCTCTGAAAGCTTGATTGTCAGCTATGAGTCGGTTCTGACTTGAAGGCACATAACAACAAAAGTGAATTTTCAATAAAGTCAGAGACTGTGATTGACAAGTAAAACTGTGTTTAGATGGGTTGATCCAGGTCTGAGTTTTTATTTGTGCCATCATATGGCTATTTCCTGTTGCTTTAACAGAATTCAGTTCTTGCTGCTCTTTGACAAAGGAAAGGAGCCCTGGTAGTTAATATGCAACCTATTGAGCTGCTGACTGAAAGGTTGGCAGTTTGAATCAGTGGAAGAAGGATGAGCATTGCCATCATGCAAAGATGTACATATGGTGGTTTATTCACACAATGGAATACTATGCAGCATTGGAAAACAAGGAACTTATGAAATATTATACAAAATTTGGAGGACATTATGCTGACTGAACTATCTCAGTCACAAAAGGACAAATACTGCATAATGCCACTGTTAAAAAATAAGACTGACATCGGGGTTGGGTAAACTGAGAGGGGATAAATCATGTACACCACATTGAAAGAGATGAGGAAGATAACTGTTTAAAAGGAATATATGATTAGGTATTATTTGCATGACAACAGTCTAGAATAAGAGTTGCATAGTAAATTGGACTTGGGGACAGGAGGGATTGTATAACAATGAAAGATTATTTTTTTTTCTTTTTTCAAAAAGAAAACGAACTGAAAGAGAGGGTAGGCAGAGAGGAAAATGTACAACAATGAATGAATGAGGAAAATATTAATAAAACAAAGAAATAATCTGACAAGCATGCTTATAATATATAGCTTTATATTAGTATTAAAAAAGAATAAAAATCAGCAGACCCAATATAAATGAGAGGGGGAAGTGTACAGATGATGAGGGGTAGCTTTGAGCAGCAACAGGTTTGACAGAGGAAGAATACTCAGCTGCTGTGAAACAAGGGGACCATTTAAAGACAAAATGAGCCAAGTAAATAGTCATTGTGGTGGTGGTGGTGGTGGTGGAGTTACAAACAGACAAGTCAGAACCAACCTAATGGGTTTTCAGAGGCTGTAAATCGCACTGGAGGAGATTGCCCATCTTTCTTCCTCAGGGCAGCTGGTGGATTCGAATTGGATGTCTTTTGATTGGCAGCATATCTCCTTACCACTATGCCACCAGAACTTTCTAGTTATTCTTACAGATAGGATATTAGTCATTATTACATGTATGAAAAAGACAAGTTTGTCAGTAAAAATCAGCTGTAAATCTTCCTTAAATGTTTGCAAGCCTTTATCTAAGATCTTTCATATATCCCCAATTTGATTTGCAAATCTTATTCTTCTGTAATTTAGGAAAATGTATCCAAAGATCAGCCGAGAAATTTGAGGTATTTCCCCTCTGCCCTCCCCTGAGCTGTTTGAAGTCATTATGTACTTAAGATCATAAAGGCAGCTGTAGCAGGGCTGGGCAGCAGGGAATCCAACTTTGCTATGTGGTCAGCAAAACTGCAGCCTCTTCTCACCCCCTTCCCATAACGTGGGCGCTGACCTTGAGCACACTGCTTAGTCTCTGTGTCCTCTGCAGCCGTAAGAAGGATGAGCTCCTTCGTGTTTAATTAAGGACTTCAGAGCACGCTATTCCACTTACATATAGTTTAAAATGCTTTACATGAATGGTATTTAAAACCATATTTAATCTAATTTTTAAATGGCTTTTAGTTATGTCTTTCAAGTTTGCTTCCTAGTTTTCTGTCCCTATATTTTACTGTTTTGAGGACTTCTGACCTGATGATCACCTTGGGAACATATCCGCACGGAAGATTTTACTTTTTCTTTTTGAAAGGATTCAGGGGCTGACCCAAGAATGTAGAGATTCTGTGTTCACATCAGTAGAGAAACGTTGAAAGATTAGTACAATAAAAATTCCTTGAAATTTGTGCCCTAACTAGATGACACAGACAGGTGTAGAATAATAGTTGAATAGAACCATTGCAAAAGAAGAAATAGAGCAGGTCATAAAGACTCCCCAACAAAAAAAAAGTACTGGACCGGATGGCTTCATGCCTGAATTTTACCAAACATTCAGAGAAGATCTATCACCAATTCTACATAAATTATTTCAAAATATAGGAAAATAAGGAACACTCCTAGAGACATTCTATGAAGGAAGCATAATCTTAATACCAAAACCAGACCAAGATATTGCCAAAAAAGAAAAATACAGATAAATATATCTCATTAACATAGATGTAAAAATCCTTAACAAAATCCTCGACAATGAAATCCAACAGCACATTTTAAAAAAAAATCATCATGATCAAGTGGAATTCAGAAGAAGAATGTAACAATGGTTCAGTATAAGAAAAACTATCAATGTAATTCACCACATTAACAAATCAAATAACAAGAATCTTATGATCCTAGCAATTGATGCAGGGAAAAATATTTGACAAAATCCAGCATCCTTCCTGATTAAGACATTCAGCAAAATAGGAATAGAAGGGAATATTATCAACATAGTTAGAAGTATATATTTAAAACTAAGAGCCAATATCATTCTCAATGGAGAAAAAGTAAAAGTATTTTCCTTGCAAACAGAGAGACCAGACAAGGATGCCCACTGTCACAATTACTATTCAGTATTGTATTGAAAGTACTTGCTAGGCACTATGACAAGAGAAGGAAATAAAAGGCATCCAAATGGGCTAAAA